TAAGGAGAAATGGGACTTTGGCATAGTCTCTGAGTACCTTCCTCAAGGTGTTTGTTAATTTCAGTGGGAGAAACAGAAATGTGACAGTAGAGAAATCCAGCAGGACCACCTCAGCCAGGTGAGGAAGGCTGGTGGCACCAGCGGAAAAACACACGACGTATCTGTCCAACAAACCTCATCTCTGGTTTTCTTGCCAAAGTGCATAACCTCAATGTGATCATGAGAAAACATCAGAAAAACCCAAACTGAGGGATGTTCTACAAAATAATTGATCACCCTGGTACTTTTCAAAAGTGTCAAGGTCATGAAAGACAAGAAGAGACTGAGGAGCTGTCATGGATCGGAAGAGACTAAGGAGATGTGATACCCAAATGCAGTGTGGAAGCCGAAGTTGGACCCCAGAGCAGAAATGGAATGTTTGTGCAAAAACTGGAGGAAATTCCAATAAAGCCTGTAGGTCATTAACAGTATTGTGTGGTCTGGGCATAATAGCTCACGGCTGTAATCCCAGCACTTTGGGAGGCCAAGGTGGGTGGATCTCCTGTGGTCAGAAGTTCGAGACCAGCCTGGCCAACATAGCAAAACCCCATCTCTACTAAAAATACAAAAAATTAGCCAGGCGTTGTGGCAGGTGCCTATACTCGGGAGGCTGAGGCAGGAGAATTGATTGAACCTGGGAGATGGAGGTTGCAGTGAGCTGAGATTGCGCCATTGCACTCCAGCCTGGGCAACAAGAGCAAAACTCTATCTTGAAAACAAACAAACAAACAAACCAGTATTGTGTCAATGTTAATTTATTGGTTTCAGAAGTTGTATGATTCTTATGTAATATGTTCACATTAGGGGAAGCTGGGTGAAGGATACACATGAACTCTCTGTACTATTTTGTAACTTTTTCTTAAAGGCTAACATTATTTCTTTTTTGGAGACAGAGTCTTGCTCTGTTGCCCAGGCTGGAGTGCAGTGGTGTGATCTCTCTGCTCACTGCAACCTCCACCTCCCAATGCCGAATTTTTTGTATTTTTTTAGTAGAGATGGTGTTTCACCATGTTAGCCAGGCTGGTCTCAAACTCCTGGCCTCAAGTGATTCACCCATCTTGACCTCCCAAAGTGCTGGGATTACAGGGATGAGCCACTACACCTGGCCAATTCTAACGTTATTCCAAAATAAAAATTAAAAAAAAAGAAGCTGGGTGTGGTGACTCATGCCTATAATCCCAGTAGTTTGGGAGGCTGAGGTGGGAGGAACGTTTGAGCCCAAGAGTTTGAGACCAGCCTGGGCAACATAGTGAGACCGCATCTCTACAAAAAAAATTAAAACTAGCTGGGCATGGTGGCAGTTCTGGGTACTTGGGAAGCTGAGGTGGGAGGATCCCTTGAGCCCAGAAGATTGAGGCTGCAGTGAGCCGTGATCCCACCACTGCACTCCAGCCTGGACAACAGAGAGAGACCCTGTCTCAAAAAAAAAAAAAAAAAGTGGATGGTGGCAAGTATGGACCCAAGACCCGAGAATTCTATGCCTCCCTCCATCCAGTTCCTGGCAACTTCATGTGTCAAGCTAAAGGCGGCTCCCAGAAGCCTTCCAGATGAGGCCACCCCCAAATCTCATCTCAACCATCTCCCAGTTTTTACTATTGCTTTGCAAGGTGATGAGCACCGTCTCTTATGTGGTATAGTGGGTCAAATAGGGTTCCCCCAAATCATGTCCACCTGGGACCTCAGAATGTGCCCTTATTTGGAAATAGGGGTTTTGCAAAAGTAAGTAAGGGAAGGTTTGAGATGAGATCCTACTGGATTAGAGTGATCGCTAAATCCAATGAGTGTCTTATAAGAGACAGAAAAGGACAGAGATGAAGCCTGCATGAAGATGAAGGCAGAGGTCGGGGCGTTGCTGCTGTAAGCCAGGAGACTCAGGGAGGCACCAGTAGTTGGAAGAGGCAAGGAAGGGCTCTTCCCCAGAGTCTTCAGAGGGACTGTGGCCCTGTGGACACTGTGATTCAGGGCTGACGGCTTACTGAACCGTGAGAGAATATGTTTCTGTTGTTTTAAGCCGCCACATTTGTGGTAATTTGCTATGGCAGCCCTGGGAGATCAATCTCTCCTGTCTGTGCTTTTCTTTCGTGTGTTATTTCATATGTTTGTATGTTAAGTAATGTTGATGCACATTCTTGCTTCTCTTTCATGCTGGGACCTTCCTAAAGGCAGGGATCACTGCTTCCACTAGGCCATGCACTCCAAGGGCAGTGGCCGACCTGAGGTCTCCTCCTTCCTTAGCGTGCCATCTCCTGGTGCCCAGAGTAGTCCTCTGCACACAGTGTGGGCTCTGGGGGTGCTGCCTGGCCCTGCCTGCATTACCTGTTTGGATTGGCAGGGGGCTCCCCCATGCAGGGTGGTGCAGGGAGACTCACTGACCACAAGAGGCCCCACCCCGGGCTTCTCCTTTACTGCCCTCCCCCCCACCGTCCTTTTGGGGCAGGCTGGACAGAGGATCAGGTGATGCTGCTCACATAAAGCCTTCGGAGAAGTCCAGAGGTGGGGGCTACTGCAGGCCTCGGCAGTCAAGACTGGCAACCCATTAACTCCTGCTGCCCCAGAAAATACCTTCCCTTAAAATATATGAGTCCTATGCTTCCTCGGCACCAGGGAGGGGACGGGAGTGCAGTGTCCTCTAAGTCTCTGCTCCCTGCCTGGCCAGGCTGTTTGCAGCTCCTTGGTCACTGAGTCCTTGTCTGCAGGGGAAGGGAGGTTGGCCTCAGGTTCCAGGTTGGGCCACGGTTCTAAGACCGGGTGCCGGGGATCAGGCTTGTGTTCCAGGCTAGGGTTCTGGAGCTGGTGCGTGGGGTTAGGGTGGGGCTGCAGAAGTGCCTTTTAAGCTGATGTGCATGGATGTATCTGTCATTGGTTGCTTGCCATCTTTATCTTTTGGATTCCCTTGAAGGACGGGGAGGAAGAAGCTTCTTTTGGGCTCCATTGAATCAGATGAAAGGGAAAGTAGAGCTGCCCTATGTCCTGGGCTCCAGAGCTTCTATCCCAGATCCCTGCAGAAGGAGACAGGACGGTGGGCGGTGGGGGCGGGACGCAGAGGAAGCCGGTATTGGGCTCTGCACCCCATTCCTGCTCCCAGATCCCTCTGGACACAGCATTTTTCTCCGGTTAGCACAGCCTCCCCTTGCCCTACCGCCAACAGCAACATGCCTCCCAACAAAAGCCTCTGTCCCTCAGCCAAAACCCCTGTTGCCTCTCTCTGGGGAAATTGTAGGGCTGGGCCAGGGTGGGGGGACCATTCTCTGCAGGGAGATTAGGAGTGTCTGTCGGGTGGGTGGAGCGGGGTGGGGCCCTGGCTTACTCACATCCTCGAGAGTCCTTTGCTGGCAGATTTGGGGAGCCCACAGCTCAGGTGTCTGTCTCAGCATTGTCTTCCAAGCTCCTAGGCCACAGTGGTGGGGGGCTCCCCTCCCTGGCTTCTGCATTGGTGACAGTCAAGGCGAGGGTGGGGCTGAGAGCGGGTCCTCCTTCTCTTCCAGGAGCAGTGGATCCCAGGAAGAGTGCTGGAGCCTCCAGCAGGGGCTGTTGGGGCCTGTCTGAGGAGATAGGACGTGTCAGGCAGCCCCAGACACGACCACATTCCTCCCAACATGCCTGCCGGGGTCTGCGGAGCCGAGGGGCTGACGGGAGGCGGGGTGGGGGCCGGAAGGGTTTGCCTTGGGAGGTTGTCTGGGAGATCACTGAAGTTTTGATATACACACTTCCAAAGCAGGACCAAATGGACTCCTGGAAATGTCCCCTGAATCTTGGGGCTTCGGGAGTCAGGGACCCTCATGTCCACCTCGGCCTTGCCCTTGTCACAGCCCAGCTTCACTCCTAGGTGCATCTATTCCTCCCCAGGACATCTCCTGGGCCAGCTAAGCAAGGGGGTCACATGAGGGTGCCTGAGCCAGACTTCTGCACAGACTAGGGATGTCCTGGGGGTCTGAGAAGATATCTAGGGTTGGAAGAAAGAAAGGCCGCCTCTAGGCCTGTTCCTGGGTGCAGCTCCACTCACTTTGGGCTAAGCCTGGGCTACCAGTGCTCACCAGGCTCCGTGCCACACTCAGTTTACAAAGCCTGTTCCCATAATTGTCGCATTGGGTTCTCAGAGCCGACTGCAGTAGGCAGAATAGACGTTATGACTCCCACTTTGCAGATGAGAACACTGAGGCTCATAGAAGTGCCAAGCCCTGGGCCACAGAGCTGCAAATGGCAGAGCCAGGGCCCACCTGACTCCAGTTTCCCGGCCTTCTGGCTGCGCCCGTGATGCCACTGCTCTGTGCTGTGGGCCCATCTGCTGGTGTGTGATGGATGTGAGATCCTCACCCTAGGGAGGATATTAGGGTCTATGCCCAGGGCTGGGAGAGCTGCCTGGATTTCCCTTCAATGGGGGAGTTGGGGTAGGAGTCACGATCCGCTTGACTAGCTGGGTGGGTTTCAGGGACAGCCTTCTGAGCACAGCACAGCAGGCCAGGCCTTCGGGGGGCCCCGAGACTTCCTTGTCTCTAATAGAGGGTGGTGCTGAGGGAGGGCTGTCTGTGCCCAAGGAGACCTTGCTGTCCGGTGCCCTCTAGCCGGGTACTCATCCCCTGCCGTGGCGGGCTTCCTCTAAGTGGATGTTAAAGTCCCATCCAGTTAATGGAGAGCTAGCGGTCACCAGATTTAACGTGCAGAGGCCCTGCTGCCTGTCACCCTGGCTGAGCCCAGTGCGCGGGTTCCCGAGGGCTGGGACTCCCAGGGCCCGATGGGAAAGTGTAGCCTGCAGGCCCACACCTCCCCCTGTGAATCACGCCTGGCGGGACAAGAAAGCCCAAAACACCCCAAACAATGAGTTTCCAGTAAAATATGACAGACATGATGAGGCGGAGGAGAGGAGGGACCTGACTGGGAGTTGGCCCTAGCTTGTGGGTGATGAAAGCCAAGGGGAATGGGAGGTGCCAGGCCCGCCCCCTACCCACGAGTATAAAGCACGGGCATCCTTTTTCAGTTTACCCGGCACCTTCTCTTCTCTCAGCCAACTGCTCGCTCGCTCACCTCCTCCTCAGCACCATGACCACCTGCAGCCGCCAGTTCACCTCCTCCAGCTCCATGAAGGGCTCCTGCGGCATTGGGGGCGGCTCCAGCCGCATCTCCTCTGTCCTGGCTGGAGGGTCCTGCCGTGCCCCCAGCACCTACGGGGGCCTGTCTGTCTCCACCTCCCGCTTCTCCTCGGGGGGAGCCTACGGGCTGGGGGGCGGCTATGGCGGTGGCTTCAGCAGCAGCAGCAGCTATGGTGGTGGCTTCGGGGGAGGATATGGTGGTGGCCTTGGTGCTGGCTTCGGTGGTGGCTTGGGTGCTGGCTTTGGTGGCGGCTTGGGCGGTGGCTTTGGTGGTGGTGATGGGCTTCTGGTGGGCAGCGAGAAGGTGACCATGCAGAACCTCAACGACCGCCTGGCCTCCTACCTGGACAAGGTGCGTGCCCTGGAGGAGGCCAACGCCGACCTGGAGGTGAAGATCCGGGACTGGTACCAGAGGCAGCGGCCCGCTGAGATCAAGGACTACAGCCCCTACTTCAAGACCATCGAGGACCTGAGGAACAAGGTGGGTGAATGGGCAGCAGAAGGTGCCATTCTGGCTAGCTCCTTCTGGGAACAATGGATGCCTCGGGTCACTGCCACCTTTAGATTTCTCTATAGGACAGAGTCCACCCCAGATCCTTTCTTTTGAGGTATCAGATGCCCTAAGAGCTGATCAGTGAGAAGATGCACTCCTTTCCCCAGCCTCCTCATCTGCCTCTGCTCTCAAATCCTCAGATCAGTGATTCCTAGCCTTACATTTTACAGAGGAAGGAAAAAGCAGTTGAAGCTTCGAGAGGTGCTGTGATCAGCTGCAGGTCACATAGCAGATTAAAGGCAGAGCCAAGGCTGGAGCCCTTGTACCCTGCCTTCCAGCACAGGAGGCAGCTAGCTGTCCTCCAGCACAGGGGAAGGGTGAGGCTCTAACGGGACCAGGCAAGACATCCAAACTGCTCATTAGCTCACTAGTCTGGGCTGTGGCTGCCGCCGCCCATAAGCCTTGTACAGGCTGGTCCCTCCCCACGGCCAGGCAGGCATGGAGAGCCTGCAGAGACAATCAGTGTGGCTCCCTGATGTGCCCTGCACAGAGGGAGCTGGCAGGCTTGCGCTCTCTGACTCCAGCCCCATCCTCCCTGCTCCCACATCACCTGGGAGCCCTCCCTCCAGGAGTCTGCTGGGCTCTAATGCCTTGCATGGATTAAGGAAATTCAGTGATGAGGTGGGGAACTCCAGCCAGGCTCAGGGGCCAATATGTCTTCTTTTTCTTCCCCTGAGTCCTCTTTTCTAATCCCCTGTGCCAATTGGGTCTTATCTCTTGAGGAAGTCCCACTTGAGTTCCCATGGGCTGTGAGCTTGAAAAGGAATGTGCGTATCTGCAGAGTACTGGCAGGGCTGGCTGACACAGAGAGGAGAGAGGCCGGCTCAGGAAGGAGGGCTAGGGAGCCTCAGGTTATTCTCCCCTCCTGGAGGTGGGGAACTTGAAGCTCCAAGACTCATTAGCTTTTGCAGCAAGTCAAGGGCAGAATTGGAACCAGAACGCCTAGGTTTCTGATTCTAAGCCCAGGGTAGCTTCTACCCTTTCTGCTGACCATGAGTTAGCAAAGTCTTAGGACAGGCCTGGGTCACCTAGGTTTTTCCTTTAGGAGGCTGTGGGCAAGTTTTGTGGGAGAAGAGGGAAATTCAGGCAAGAGCTTAATGTAGGTTACAGTGAAGCCGGGCTTGGGAAGTGCATTTGACAAATGACCTGTGCCCTTTCCATCCTGCAGATCCTCACGGCCACAGTGGACAATGCCAACGTCCTTCTGCAGATTGACAATGCCCGTCTGGCCGCGGATGACTTCCGCACCAAGTGAGTTTGCAGCGGTGGGCCAGGACGCCCAGTGTCTGCGAAGTAGGGCATTTTTGAGCAGTATTTTCCAAATAGAACTAGCTGGTGCCAGGCTAGCTGCATGAAAGCTCCTTAGGGTGCTTGTAAAAGAATAAGACTCTTGGGCCCCACCCTTGGAGTTTTGATTCAGCTATTTATAGCAGGTTTCCTGGGTGATTCTGGCCCACAGCCAGGTTTCAGAACCACTGCTTTAGGGAGAGGCCCTTCCCACTTCCCCAGCTGCCCTCGAAGTATAGGAGGGAATCATAGTTGGAGGACTTATGCATTATTTGTTGGCTGAAGCTAGAGGCGCAACCCCCTCCTGAATTCTGCAGCAAGATGAACTGCCTTATCCCGAGGCCCCAGGAATGTTCATATCTGAGCAATCAATGGGCACTGTGTTCAACCACGCTGTTTTCAAGATTGATTCCTTAAACCACCCACAAGGCACCAGCTCTGGGAGAAGCTGGAGGGAAAGGAGAACAAAGCCCTCACTGTGGTGAGGATGGGTGTCTCATTCCTTTTCTCTGGGGTCATTCCAGGTATGAGACAGAGTTGAACCTGCGCATGAGTGTGGAGGCTGACATCAACGGCCTGCGCAGGGTGCTGGATGAACTGACCCTGGCCAGGGCTGACCTGGAGATGCAGATTGAAAGCCTGAAGGAGGAGCTGGCCTACCTGAAGAAGAACCACGAGGAGGTGAGGACTCTATGGAAAAGCCAGCTTAAAGGAGGCGCAGGGAGGCTGGACATAGTGGTGCGTGCTACAGTCCCAGCTACTTGGGAGGCTGACATGGGAGGATCTTCTGAACCCAGGAGTTTGAGTTCAGCCTGGGCAACAAAGCTAAAGTCTATCCAGAGAGAGAGAGAGAGAGAGAAAGAGAGAGAGAGAGAGAGCAGGGAGGGTCGAGATATAATTGTGATGGTGGGAGGGCACTATTCAGGCCTGAGTAGGGAACCCCAATCCACTTTCATGGTGGAACTCCTGACTGTGGACTGTCCCCGGCTATGCAGGAGATGAACTCCCTGAGAGGCCAGGTGGGTGGAGATGTCAATGTGGAGATGGACGCTGCCCCAGGCGTGGACCTGAGCCGCATTCTGAACGAGATGCGTGACCAGTATGAGAAGATGGCAGAGAAGAACCGCAAGGATGCCGAGGAGTGGTTCTTCACAAAGGTGGGTGTCATTTGAGGTGCAAGCAACCCAGACCACCTGCCTTCTGGGGCCTTCTGGTGTGAATGGGGTTCTCTTCTTTTGCAGACAGAGGAGCTGAACCGCGAGGTGGCCACCAACAGCGAGCTGGTGCAGAGTGGCAAGAGCGAGATCTCGGAGCTCCGGCGCACCATGCAGAACCTGGAGATCGAGCTGCAGTCCCAGCTCAGCATGGTAGGAGCCCTGCCAGGCATGGTGGTGAGCCCAGGACTGGCAGGGAGAGAACGGCTGCTCTCACTAATCCTCGATTTTCTTTCCCTCCCTCACAGAAAGCATCCCTGGAGAACAGCCTGGAGGAGACCAAAGGCCGCTACTGCATGCAGCTGGCCCAGATCCAAGAGCTGATCAGCAGCGTGGAGGAGCAGCTGGCCCAGCTTCGCTGTGAGATGGAGCAGCAGAACCAGGAGTACAAGATCCTCCTGGACGTGAAGACCCGGCTGGAGCAGGAGATCGCCACCTACCGCCGCCTGCTGGAGGGCGAGGATGCCCAGTGAGTCTCAGCCCTGCCCATAGTCCAGCCCCCACCATGGCACTCTTACAGCCCCAGTGTGTCTCTAATGATCCTGCCCTTCTCTGTCTTCACAGCCTCTCCTCCTCCCAGTTCTCCTCTGGCTCGCAGTCATCCAGAGATGGTAAGGCCTTCCTCCTTATTGGGCCTGGGCTCTGGGCCGCCCTCTGTACCCTCAAGCAGCTCTAGGTATTGGCTAGGGGCTCCATAAGGGGTTGAGCTATAGTGCTCACACCCAGTGTCCCTTGTGAACCTCCTTGGGTGGAAGAAGCTATTTTCTAAACCCTCCTTAGGGCTAGGAGAGGCAGCCCCCACCTCTTACATCTACCTGGTGTCTGTGGCAGATCCCATTGCTGTGGTGGTCAGCACCACGAACAGGGCCCTGCAGGGCTCTTCCCACCAAGACCCCTCCACTGGGTCCACCAGCCGGGTGTGAGCTCTTAGGAAGCTCCAGTCTGAGGACAGAGACTCTGTCTCTGACCTTTGGGAGCCCTAGTCTGAAAGAAATGTTTTGATGTTATCAGTGCTTGGGCAATAGCAGGAAGTGAAGCAGTATTCGGGGAAAGGGTAGCAGGGAGACAGCTGGAGTTTCTTCACCTTCTTGGCCTCCCCACTCCTAATTAGCCCATTGTCTGTCTGCCTCTGGTAACGCCCTCTCCCTGCCTCTTCCCCAGTGACCTCCTCCAGCCGCCAGATCCGCACCAAGGTCATGGATGTGCACGATGGCAAGGTGGTGTCCACCCACGAGCAGGTCCTTCGCACCAAGAACTGAGGCTGCCCAGCCCTGCTCACGCCTAGGAGGCTCCCCGTGTGGACACAGATCCTGCTAGAAGATTCCCTCTCCTGCCCACCAAGCACTTCACACCCGGACCCTGCTTCACCCTCACCCCCTCCTGGCAATCAATACAGCTTCATTATCTGAGTTGCATAATTCTCGCCTCTGTCTGGTCATTGTTAGGAGTGGGTGTGGGGAGAAAGTGGGAGAACGATCTCTTTGGAGCTTGTCACAGCACCTGGCTGTGGCCCCTGGGACTGGGAGAAAGGTCCTGGGGGTGGGCTGGGCTCAGGTCCCAGGATGTCTTTCGCCATCTCTGAAGACACAGATAGATGTGTGTGCCAGGTCATATGTGGTGTCTCCCAGGGTACAGAGGGATATTCATTCATTTACTCACTCGTTTTCGTGTGTGTCCATTCATTCACCAGGCACTGAATGCCTCTGCGTGTCAGGCACTATGCTAGCTTAAGGATTCCTAATATTTTTGTGATCAGGGATTCCTTGGAGAATATTGAAAGCTATAGATCTTTCCCTCTGTGCCTCCACTTCAAATAAGCATACATTTGAATACAATTTCATGGGGTTCGTGGGTCTTCCAGAGCTCCTTGCTGGAGGTGCATGAACCCAAGGTAGGAATCCAAGCTCTCCTGACAGTCTTGTCTCCCTCTACATCACGTGCTCTTGCCTCCAGCGCTGGATCTGATAATTCCTACACTTGGTTGATCTAGGGCAAGTTGATGGCCATCTCCCAGCCTCAGCTTCCACTTCTGTAAAACGGGCACAATGAAAATACCTGCCTCATGGGCTTGTTGTGAGGATTCACTGGAAGAATGCATTTAAGGCCTCCGGCACAGTGCCTGGCATAGTGCTGGCTCAAGGCATGGCTGTTTTGGGTAAACCGTCTCTAGGGCATGGTGATTATTCATCCAAGATGAGAGCATCTTTAGAGGGTTTGGGAGTAGACTGGTTTCTAACCCTGGCTCTGTTGTGTAACAGCTGTGAGCTTAGAAAGTCTGAGTCTCAGTGTCCTTACTTGTATGGTAAGGATGCTGAGCCCTGCTTCTGGAGGTTGATATGAGAATCCAATGAATGACTGTACCTTAAGAGCCAGGACTGTAGGAGCCTCCCCTGGGTGGGGAATGCCTTTTCTTCTCTTTGGGGGGCTAGAAAAGGAGCGAGAAGGGAAGGAGCCTCACTCTAGTAAGTGGTGAAAATTCCAGAGGTGGGTGGGGTTGACTGCCCCAAGGTAGGAAAGAGTTGACTAGTCCTGTGTCAGTTTCAACAGCTCATTCATTTGGCTATGTGAAGAAAACTTGTAGGGGAAGTCAAGGGCAGGGGAGAGATTGAAAAAAGACTGAATTTGGACAAGGGATCTATAAAAGCCTGGGCTTTTGAATCAGGCTACTTGGGTTGGAGTCCTGGCTCCTACGCTGAGTCACCTTGAAGAGTTTGGGCAAGATACTAAACCCCACATTCCTCTTTCACAAGGAAGGGAATAAATACCTTTACTGCATACGGCTGATACAGGAGTAAATGACCTCATGCAGGCAATGAATTTGGCATTGTGTTTGGCACACAGTCAGCAGCCTATAAATGGTAGTGGGGTGAGTTATTTGGAAAAGGAATGAAGAGATGTTGGTTTCTCTTGTTCCTACCTCCACCCCAGGAAAAAGAGGACTGCTTTGTGTTTCTGAAACTCTGGGATTTTTTTTTTTTAAATAGATATAGAGACAGGGGTTTCACCATGTTGGCCAGGATGGTCTCGATCTCTTGGCCTCGTGATCTGCCAGCCTTGGCCTCCCAAAGTGCTGGGATTACAGGCTTGAGCCACCGTGCCCAGCCACTCTGGAATATTTTTTAAAGTAAGTTTTATTATCAAGAAAGGGTGACTTTGGGTGATCCCTGGGTGAGGATGGGTCATCCTGGAGGTGAAGTACTAAAGTTTCAGGGGTACAGGGGACAACTCAAGAAGGAGGAAGTTTTGAGGGTGCTTCCTCAGAGAATGAGAAGAGGGAGGTTTGAAGGCCCTGGAGGGTACAGGACCCTCGTGTGGGGAGGGGTTTGTCATTTTTCTAGGAGTGTTGAACTCTGGTTCCTAAGGTTTCCAGTTGGGCAATGAGCCTCTTGCCCAAGTGTGGCAAAGAATCTCAGGAGTGGCACACATTTGAGAGGTCACATGGGTCTGGACAGAGAACAAAGTATGGCAAGAGTCACCAGTGGGGACCGAAGCCTAGAATACGTTGAACTTCATACGAATCCCCAGACATCCCTCTACCTTGGAGGTGGTGCCAGATTAAAGTCTCTGTCTCCAAAGGAGATCTGCTTTAGAGGAATATAGAAGCGTGAGATCTCTTGGACTGGGGTGCGGTGGGGCAATCCTCCTCTCTCAGTGGTTGCCATCACTATTTGGAGGAAATACACAGGAGAGTCGGGATTGCTTGCGGGTAAAAACGGCGGCGGGGAGCTCCTGGCTGAAAGCGGGCTCAGAACCAGGAAGGCTGGGAGGTGGTCCCACCCTGCACTGTCAGGCCCCAGGGTCTCACGTTGACTCCCGTCCTCCAGGAATTTTCCCATCATACTGCACTGGGGAGGGCAGGGCCGATGTTTGGATCCTGCTAATGAACAGGGCTCTTGTCCACAGAGCCTGGCAGCTGCAAACATCCAACTAAAGACATGAGCCCAGCAGCTCTGACAATGGTGACTGCCTTCCCTTGGCCTCCGCTCAGCTAAACAATAGACCAGCAAAGTGACAACAGTACAGTCTAGTGGAGGCAGGTGGGATTGCGTCTCTGAGTCCGGGGGGGGGGCCGGGGGGGGGGGGTTGGTCAGGTGACCTCTTGGTTCTGCCTCCCTATAAACCTCTCCACCTTCCCAGCACTCAGAACCGGCAGTGCTAGGTGAGCCACTGAGAAGACTCCTCCAACCTCACCGTAGGGAGACTGGTTTGCTCCAGGTCCTACCGGCTGCAAGTGGCAAAGTCCTGTCCATGCTCAGGCTTTGCCACATCCTGGGTGGCTTCATTCCTGTCTCGTTCTTTCTCAGGGATGAGATAAGGCTGAGTCCCAAGGGATCAATGTGTATTTTTCCTAACTTACTTCATGCTTTTTGTTTTGTGGGGTGGAAGGGTGGAGCCAACCTTGAAATTCTCAATCCCCTTGATTTGGGGGAGGTTTTTTTTTTTTTTTTTTATAGTGAAAAGATCTCTAATGTGTCCAGGGAACTCTATAGGCAGCAACTGGCCTATATGCCTACCTAATCAGGCAATGGCACTTCCCAAGGCCACAGACAGCCTGGCTTGGGTAATGCAGCCAGCTCTTCTACAGGCAGACGTCAGAGGAGGCAGCCCTAAGGAGGCCCGATGCCCAGGGGCTGGGGGGTCCTGATGTCCTGGTGGGACTGCAGGAGGTTCCCTGGCCCACCTCACTGAGCCTGGAGGCTGTCACAAAGGGGACAAGGGAATGTCAGGGGTTTCCAGGGCATTGGACCGGCCTCAGGCAGGCACAGGGCAGGCATCAGCTCCTCCTCCATTGCTGTTTGCTGAGCGAGAGCCTTCCTGACGGGGCTTACCTCTGTGCCACTGTCACCTGTAAGGCCGGGCCTGGGAAAGGAAGCCTTTTTCCTTTAAGGTGCTCTGATGAACTTTGGGGGTGACTTGGCATGAGAGAGCACAAAAAGAGACACACAGAGATAGAGAGAAACAAACGTACATAGAGCTGAGAGAGAGAGAGGGAGGGAAAGGGAGAGAGTCAGAGAGACAGAGTCAGTGAAAGAGAAGATAGTGAGGGCCCTGGGCTAGTACTAGGCAGGGAGGAGCATTCATTCACACATTCATTCATTCATTCACACATATTTATTGAAACTTACTGTCGTAGATATAGGGGAGATGGGGTGAATTGAGACAGGCTGAATAAGAAGAGACGACATGAGGAAGAAGGCAGAGAGGAACCCAGCGCGTGCGTGGGGCTTGGGACAGAGAGCAGGAGCTCTAGGCCTGTGTCCACTGCAGCTCCTATTCACGGGAGGGCACGCCCTGGCTCCACTCCCGCCTTGTTTAGCTCTGTGACTGTGGCCAAGATATCCTCTCTGAGCCTCAATTTCCTTTCCTGTAAAGTGATTTAAAAACTAACACGCACCTCCTAAAACAGCTGGCGAAGATTAAGTACTACAGGGCAGGCAAAGCAATGAAGGTCTTGCCCACAACGCTGGAGGGGCCTCGATGGAAGGAACCATGACCCTCCAACCACCCTGTGTCCTCCCCAGGCCCCACAGGCGCAGGTCTTTGATCTTAATGGGGGCTGAATAGGCCAGAGGGATGGGCTATTAACAAGCGAGGGAGCTGAGAACCCAAGTCACTCAGACGGTCCATGGGGAAGTCGGGAGCAGCCACAATGCCACTGACAGTCAGAAAGATGTCCCACTATGTGCCAGGCCCACACCGGCAGTTTTGCAATATGAGCTCTTCTAAGCCTCACAGCAACCTTGTGATGTCAGTACTATTTTTTTTTTTTTTGAGACAGACTCTCGCTCTGTTGCCCAGCTGGAATGCAATGGTGCGATCTCAGCTCACTGCAATCTCTGCTTCCTGGGCTCAAGCAATTCTCCTGCCTCAGCCTCCCAAGTAGCTGGGATGACAGAAGCCCACTATCACACCCAGCTAATTTTTGTATTTTTAATAGAGACGGGGTTTCACCATGTTGGCCGGGCTGATCTCGAACTCCTGACCTCAGGCAATCCAACCACCTTGGCCTCCCAAAGTGCTGAGATTACAGGCCTAAGCCACTGTGCCTGGCCAAGGTCAGAACTATTTTTTTTCCCACTGAAATCCTTTGCTTGACTTAACTCCCTATCCTGTAGCCACACGGGACTCCTGCCCTGGCCGTCACTTTGCTTGCTCCCACCTCAGGACGTTTGCACGTGCTCTGTGCCCCTCCCCTTTTTCCTTCTCCTGGCTCACCTCTCCTCCCCCTTCACTCAAGTGTCTCTTTTTCAGGGATAAGATCCCTGATGCCCCAGCTCATGCCACATCCCTTATTATGTGCTCTCCGTTCCCCCACCAGCCCTGCTCGCCTCAGCTGTGAACTGCATGTTTATTTTTGCAGGTCTGTTTTATCCCATAACTGTCCATTGAGGTAGGGACTTGCTCATTACTATCTCCA